GTATTCCTACTCCTTTCAGCTACAAACTTCATTATATTGGTGGACCAATGCAAAATTATAATTAAAAAAATTAAAGAAAAAAAGCAATGCATGGTTTTCAATTTTTGTACAAATAAAAATAAGGTTGACAACTAGCAATGCATACAGTAATTACCATATTCAATTATTGGTGTGGCAACAGCATGCTGTGGGGATGGAACATCGCTAACCCTTTTTGGCTTACATGCAAAACATTGTATGAAGAGGAAAACTAACTCTGCACATCACTCCAAACACCATTCCCACAATGATCCATGGTGGTGGCAGCATCCTGCTGCGGGGAGGCTTTTCCTTCCGCAGGGAGAATGAAGCTGATCAGAGTTGATGGGTGAAGCTTACTACAAGGAAATTCTGGAAGAAAATACATTTCATTTGGCATTATTTCCCCTTACATTTGAAAATTATCCACCACTTTGTTTTGATCTGTTACACCAAACTGCAATAAATGACATTGACGGTTATGGTTATAGTGTGACCAAATGTGGAAAAGTTCAAAGTATATAAATACTTTAACAGGACGTTGTATGCTAACTATTATATTTGAAATAACAATGCTTTAGTTATGTCGTTCAAACAGACTTATGCTCTTTCGTTGTCTGTAACAGGATCCGGCTGCTGTCTTTGGATGACTTTAGTTTGCCACCTCTGTCCTCTGAGCTGAGCTGCTCTATTGTCCCAACTGTAAAAATTCTTTTTAAACAAACACCCACTCTGACAAAGTCAGCAGCCGACTGGAGGATTTTACCTCAGGAGAAAGCCAGTTTTTTTTTTTTTTTCTTTTCTTTTTTTCCTTTTCGTCTCATTTTTCTTTGCCTTTATTTGGGATATTTTATAGCTCCATGTAACCTGATTCCACCACATGGGTATTCACTGAGCGTTTGAAACTAAAACGCAATGGGACAGAGCAAGTACAGAGTCCTGCTTTGGTCCTTACATGTATGTGTGTGTTTGACTTTAATATGTGTGTTTGAATTAAAGCGTGCGAAAGAGAAAATAGACCAGATGTTTTTGGTTTGATTGCACCCTATGCAGCAGTTATCTGAGTGTTGACATGACTAAAAGCCTCATTCGAAGTGTTTATGCGGAATGGGTGGATTAGGGAATGAGCGTCCAGAGCTGTAGATCTTGTTTTAAGATATGGCATTAATGAAATTTAACATTTCTTTGCTCTTTTTCCTCTTTCTCCTGTTTTTCAAAACGTCTATCGTCCTATCCAAATGAACAGACTCCCTGTTTGACGTCGCCCAGCAGTCCCAGATTCAGCGCCACGCCATTGTGTGGACAACACCAGAATGAACACCCTCCTGCCCGCCTGCCTGCCTGTCCCTCAGCCCGTCAGACCAGCAGGGTGCCAACCCAGGAAACGGTCCAGATGGCCGAGTCATCACAAATCAACAACGTGGAAGAACACACAACTCAGTCACACGTTTTTTTTTTGTTTTTTTTTTCTCCTTTGGACCAAAAAGTATCACTGGGTTGTGTGTTGCATTGAGCTGACTGAGAGTTTGAAAGGAAGGTCCTCAGATCCTCGTCCTGTCTGACATTGCCCTCAAGCGCTTATATACGCGCAAGTTAGTGTGGCTGCCCAGATGCGCTCCTCCTCCTCCTTCCTCTCCTCCTCGCCTTACTCCACTCAGCAGACAGCGCTCTGATCAGCCTTGTGTGGTCTTCTCAGATGGAGCCTGAACATGATCTCTTTCCAGGGGAAACGGTTTGTTTTCTCTGCCCGGCTTGCACAAAGAGCCACATTGTTTCTCTCCTCATATCCCACGCTAACTCCCCACTCCAGGTTTTGAGTTACCTGGCCGATCGGGGCTCAAACTTCAGGAGCAGGGTTTTTCTTCCTCTTTCTATTTTTTTGAGCAAAAGCCAGGAATATAGTATGGCCTTTTCTATTCCGCCTATCCGCCCAACATAAATACAAGACATGCTACAGTCTCTCGGTTCTGAGATTTTTATTCCCTTGCAAGTGATTGCCTGAGATTTGCCAGCCTTCTCACTTCTTCTGAGAAAGGAGAGAAATCTAGTGAGATGAATACTTTATCCGCAGGCAAGTTTCTCCCAAGTGTTGGGAGAGTCAGGCCGAAGATTTCCAGAAGAAAGCTAAACTACGAAGGATGTACGAGGATGCGCTCACCAGTGCACTGTAGCTTTGGTAATCCAAGGTTCCTGATCATCTAGACAAAGATGGTATACATTGGTCACTATTTCCCCTTCTGATCTCCAAACTCAGAATGACTTATAGCACTGGGTGCCATGCATGCTTGCAGTCTCCTGACAGGGTATTTGATTTCAATATTTTTTGCTCTTATCTGACAATTCTGTAAAGAAATATCAGCTTTGTAATATTACCAGATGAGGTATTACACTCGAAAGCATCAAATGCTGTAGCAAACAGTGATCAGTATTACAGTTGCCACGGTTGATGAGGACACTTGCGTTCAGACAGATAGCTTTGAGGCTTGTCAACACTTCACTTTTACAATTAAAAGGTACAGTTTGATGTTATATTAACTTATGGAAGAAGTATAGGTAAAGTTTCATTCGATGCATTTTTTTTTCTGTTGTATTTTTATTTGAATATATTTTGTGAGTGCCGAAACAATTTTGTGCCCTTTCACGTTATTATTATGATAAATGCCCACTAGAGGGCAGTGTTTGCCTTTTTTAAACTTTGCACCTGATTACATAGAGTCCCTTATGCAGTTTGCATAAAGTCATTAGTTATAAAAAATTCACTCGTTGCTATTTTACTGATATCAGATGCCAAATCCAGACATTTTGCTATTATTTTCTCTTTGATACTAAATACTGCCATCAAGGTTCTCTTTACTCATGAGATACATTGGACAATTCACTCCCTTCGAGCTCCTCCATATTTTGTCACACAAGCACAGATCTGGTGTACTTCCTTATGCTTGTATGTGATTGAGAGGAAAATAACCACATTTTGTTGCAACTGCTGCTGTAAGTCTTTTGGAACAAGTCTCTACCAGCTTTGTACTTGTAGAAATTGACATTTTTGCCAATTTTGCAAAAATGTCAATTGCAAAAAGTGGAAGGAATACGTTAAATTAATTTGCAAGTAAAATACGGTTGACAAAAATACACTACCTGTTAGTTTGAACTCACCATTCATTCAGTGAAACATAGTGGTGGAAGAGTCCTGGTGTGCGGATTCTTTCTGAAGCAGAGCTAATGAAGCTGATTACAGGTCAAACATCATTGGAAGAAAAACACCTCAAAACTGAAAAAGAAAAAAAAATGGAGGCTGACGTGACAGTTGGCCCCAAAGACTTTGTGAGCTTCAATTCTGAAATTCAGGGTGTGCTTACTCATGCAGTTGCAGCACTTTTCTTTTGTTCTGTTAATTCTGGGTCACCTAGTTTCTGCAGGTCATGCCATAATGGTGGATTCATCCTCTGCCAGTAAGGAAACTCTGTCAACAGTCTCTGTGAGTCAGTGGTGACATCACTCCTGAAAAACAGCTGCACTGTCAACAACCTTGTACCCAATTTAGTAGCACAAGCCAAATTATTTACAACCACAAATGTCATTATTCATTTACTTCCTTTTATTAATTATTGGAATTTGACAAGAAGACAAAAGTTTGTTGCTTTTGCAGCCTGGCCAATAGGTACTGTCTGATCTCCACTTGATTTAGCCTTCAGTCTGGAATGAAATGGTCAGATTATTTGTATTGAATAAATATTATATATCCAAGATCCTTGATTGAGATCTCTTTGTAAAAATAAAAATAAATAAATGTTATTCTATGAGCAAAGACACGTTTATGATATTGTTTTTTTCTTTTCTTCCTCTTTTTTTTGACAATTTTTTTTTTTTCAATTCTGGTGCCGTTTGAAGTTCTACAATTTACATTATGAAATCATCAAACACGCGCATAAAATAAATAACTATATTGTGACACTGACGCACTTTGGACCCTGTAAATATCTATTCTTAGTGCCAACGTGTCTGAAAGGCAGCGAGTCAACATTCCTAAAATACTGAAAGTTGCTCCTGCCTATGCGGTGTGACTGTAAAACCGATGGATGAGATAAGACACCAGGAATCTCGGCTAATTTCAGTAGCAAAAAAAAACAACAACTTTCTTTCCTCTTATTATTATCAGCACCATAGAGAGACAAGTGATAGATAGACCGACAAGCTTTATGTCAGGTGTGAAGTCAAAAAGTTAAAAGCAAGGAATATTGAAGGAAGTCGACGACATGTTAAGAGTCCTTTGCAGCAAGTTACCAATCCCCTCCACGGGAGAACCGGATGTAAAGAAATTTTTCAAAATAAAAGGATTTTGTTTTTCAACATTTATTTATTTGTCCTGCATTGTCTGTACCCTCCTCTTTAGGGTTGACCTGGACAGGTTACAGGGCAACACGGAGAGAGGGGACATATATGCATTCACATATAAGGGCACTTTAGACTAATGTTTGGTGTTCAGGCTAATCATTTAATCTGACAGTTGTGTTTCTGGACTCAACAAAGAAGCCAGAGTACCTTGAGAGAACCCATGTGTGCACAGGAAGAACATGAAAACGCCATGCAAAAAGACTCAGGCTGGGATTCAAACCAACCACCCTTTATGATGCAAGTAACATGTTACAAACACCACATGTTAAGTTGTTTTAGCATTTAATTAATAAGGATATTTCAATTTGTGTCAGTCAGTTTTTATTTAAACAGCACTTTTATGTCCAAAAATATTTAGCCCTCTGCAGCGGCTTCTTGAACTCAAAGATTAGCAACATTGCTCTGAAAAAAATATAAATAGCAATACACAATTAGCCAATACAAACACTTTGCATATTTGTTTCTTTCTTGTTTGCTTTTATTTTGGTAAAACAATCCATAACCGGAAGTTGTACGGTTGTTCGTTAACCATTGACGACCGTGTCACACAGGTTGAACACCCCCCACCCCCCTGCGGTGCTGTGCGATTTTATTGCAACTACCTGGTTTGTGACGCTGACGGGGCGCATCTGTGACTAAAGATCCCATCTCTGAACTTCAAGACGTCGGGATTCTCTCTCTCTCTTTTTTATAAATCGCTTAATGTTTTATAAATGAGAGAAAAGAAGTCGGGAGGTTTTATTTTCTGTGGATGAATAATTAACCTGACAACTCAAGCCCTTGTGTACAGAGGAGCAATGATATGAGAAGCTGAGCCACGGATCGGCGTGCGCCTCCACCACTGGTAGAAACTGCAGGTGTTTTATTTTAGTTTGTCTTTTAGCATTTTTTTTACGGCATTTGAACTGGACAAAGTGGACTGTAATCATGCTGGGAGCGGAGAGCAGAGTGGAAAGCCGGCTGAAGAAGCTGGAGTCCATGGTGAAGAATCCAATGTCGTCGCTCAACTTATCAACTCTGCTGGTGAGTGAGCAACATGCCCTGGGGGCCCCACGCAGGTACGGGCGTGAGACGGAGCGAGCTGCGCGCATACTTCAGAACAATTATCCTCCCATAAAGGAGCCGAAGTAAACGCATGCGGGAAAGTACAGCATTGGAATCAAAATAAACCTTTTTAGATTAAAACTTAACGCGTTTACTGAATTAGCTTAACATCAATCTGGGGGTGGAGAAGGAGACAGAAGGAGCCCCACCTATTAATGTTTCAGCCGCTTTTCCTGCGTGGAATGCAAAACTCCCTGTTTACAGACCACAGCAGAAGTATATGAGTGTACAGAGGATCAAATGTGATTGACTTCAACAGCGGACCAGACTGACTGAAACTGAATGTCTTTTTAAAAATAAAAAAAAATAAAAAATAGGCGGCTGACGGCAACGCAGTCTGTTTGGAATATTTTCTAAAAAGTGAGCATGCATTTAGACAGTAAACTAGCTGTTGTTTTTACCTTCACCACCACACCAAATCCTGAAACGCTACTTCTCAGCACTATGGTTGATAGGCATGGATCAACATGTCCTGTGCACTTCAGTTTATCTAGAACCACACTTTTCCAAGGAAATACAAAAAAAAAAAAAAAAAAAAAAAAAAAACTTATTTTGGTTATTCAGTTACTCAGGGAAAGGTTGATCATATCTCTTTGGAGAGTTGCAAAATTATTCCAGGAAACATCTTGTACTCCAGAGGGATAAGATCAGGGATAAGTTTAAGGGAGGACTGCGCTATGAATCAATATTGGAGGAAAAAAAAAGGTGTTTTGGTCAAAGGAGACCAAAATAGAACATTTTTGGTTATTTGCAAAATATGCTGGACACTAGGATAACGACTCTAAACATACAGTTTATTTAAAATGCAATGGTTCAGATACAACTCTGAACAATCGCATGTTCATGTGGCGGAATCGCTCGGTCAACTGGATTACAGCAAACGGAAGTACAATGAAAAAAATATTCTGAAAACTATATATGAATAACTTTTCTCCCAGCCAGCAACTATGTGCTAATTTGTGCTGGTCCATAACATACAACGTGAATAAAATACATTTAGGTTTATAGTTAGACATGACAAATGTATCAGGGGTCTGTATTTATGGAACAATCATCAGTAGGAAAACGTGACAGACAAATAAGGTTGAAGTTTAAGGAGAATTTGTGACCACTCTGCTTGTTAAATGACAGAATTGTGTCTATTCTTGTGCTTGGTGACTCACAAGTAAAGTCCTGAGTACAGGACAGTGATGGCTGATAAATCCAGCCGGCCTCATGTTGCTGCGTAAACAGACAAGTGATGTTTGGTCACTTTCACCTCTGTGTGGTCATTCTTCAAAATGTTGCATTTTTTAAATAAGCGGTTCTGAGTCGACGTAACAATGGCCACCGTACTTCCTGACGCTGGGGGAAAAAAAAAAAAAAAAAACAAGCAGGAAGCTGGAGTCGCTTCCTGGAATTGAATCTGAGATAATTAGTCATGACCTCACCTCACCGTTTCCTGTTTGTCTATTTTTTGTTTTTGTTTTGGCAGCATAACACAAGATTAACAGTGTCACACAAACATATAGAAAGTTTTTCAACCCTTTTATTTTTTTAGGGTTATATTTAAAGGGTTATTAATCAACGGGACAATAACTAACAATTTATCAAAAACTACAAAATCCCTTCTCTCCAGTGAGAAACTCCAGCTCATTCTGGGGATCACAAGCCAAATGGGATATATTATCCAGGTGAAAGAGAGCAAGAGTCTGGGATTCCCTCCTGAACCTGTTGCCCTCACAACCCGATTTCTGATAAAAAGAAGACAATGGATGTGTGGGGCTACAAATCCTGTTTAGAAATGTTTCATTTATTGATGATGGCCTCTTTAAAAAAAAAAAAAAAAAAACAAAAAACAAAGGGGTATTTTTTTTGTTCAAAAGATCAGCAGTTATTTGAGGAATTAGTCATGTAATTTGTCTAGAAAAACAAAACACCTTTACATTCATGTGACTTATCTCCTAAGGTTGCATAAATGAAGCGTCATGCTATGATGATTACATGCAATTTTTACAATGTATGCTTAAGATTAGTGGCTTGTGGAGTGGTTAATGGGTGGCTTATGTCTTTATGTAAGATAAGCCATGATCTATGTATTGCTTGTAACATTTAATTTCCTCTTTTCAACCATTTTGACTGTGTGCTTGTATTGGTATAGTGTTCATGACGATAAGTAAAACGCAGCAGAGGCTTTTATGTTTACCAGCAATATTCATGGAGTACTAACAATTATGTTTTCAAGAAGGCCAAGAGAAAAAGAGTTGCTGTGGAAATGAAATCATTTTAGAACAAACCAAAGTCATTGGTTAACACAAGACGAGCCTTTTCTGTTCTGATCTTTTTAGTCAAGCCTTCATTATCCAATGCATACCTGATGGCATCGTTTGTCGTGCCTTACATTACAAAAAGACTCTACCGTGATGAGGACACGCGCAGTTGTCCTCATCACGAACATGTTGTCCAAATCTGAACATGATCCAGTTGGCAGCGACTGGATCATGTTCAGATTTGTCCAAATTCCTGAAAACAAAAGAAGTCGAGCGTCTTATTTGAAAGAGGTTGAAATCTTTCACTGCGACAAATTACATGAATGCAGCAAAATGTTCTTCCTTGTGAGGGTGATTGCACCGTTAACTTTTCAGATGTTTCTGTATTTTTTTTTTCTAAAAGTTGATGCAAACTCTTTAGTGCCAAAGAACAAAAAATGTGTGTGTACAAAAACGGCACAAATGGAAATAACGGGGTTAATAGTCCCTGAATTTCAGTTTCCTGCTTTGTTTAAAGCTTAATGCCTTTACATGTCTCCAGGGTAGATGAAACAATGTACTACTGTTGGAGCAAGTCTGACTCATTAATCATAGCCAATAATCCAATGGCTCTATGGTATCAACCACTTTCACCTAAACCTTAAACACCACTTTTTATTACTCTTTTTCACCGGCAAAGAGCCAGGAGTCAATGATTCAAGCTCTAAATGGCGAACATGTTTTTGACATTCTGAAAGTTTGTAATCCGTTATCCGCTTAACGTGTTAAACAGATGTTACAGATCTTTCCAAAGCTGCCAAATGTGCTGCATTCATTGAAAAGCCCAGCTTTAGATGAAGATGAATGAAGTGGAGTTACAGAGTTTCAAGTTGAGGTTTGTAAAACCAATCCTTCACTTTCTGCTCATAGTATTAAATTACAGATTTCCCATAGACTTTGAAGGTGTACTGTGGGCTTTTAAAGTTGATCAAAATATTTGAATCCATTGGTTATAAACATGATGTGACGTACACCCTTTGCTCAGAACATGGTATGCAAGTAAAACAGATATTTGTTTTGCTTCACTTGTGATAAAATGGATGCATTTTCTATAGAAAAATAGATGCTTGCCTGAAAATTCCCTATACATTCAGAGCAAAGCTTAAATGGACTGGAACCATGACAGAATTACAGGAAGGGACCTTATGCTCACTCCTAAAGGGGTCCAGCACAGACTCTTTAAAGGGTCACCAATCTGTCTGCCGTTAATTTCTTTAGGAAGTTTATCAGGAAATAGCCTCTTGCGTCCTACTGTTAAAGATATACATGTGGAAAGCTTGCTACATGTTGTTAAGGGTTTCACAGAGACTAAATGCTTTGGTCAGATCAGACAAGGCTGAAGGAAACATTCCTGATGTGAAACAAAGAAGGATGGAATGGAAAAGTACCTTACTGGGACTGTTAAGCATGGTGGAGGATCTGTGATGCTGTGGGCATGTTTCTCTTACAAAGACAGTGGAAGAGTTGTTTAAAAATTATGACATCATTAAATCTTTAAAATCTGGTGGCCTGTGGCAGAAAATTGGAAACCTGTTGTGTTTGGGTCAGGGTCCTGAATCCTGAAACCTACGGACCAATCAACACAGACATGTCTCGCTCTACAGTCGTATTTAAGACATTTACATTGTCTTTCTAAAAGATTGGCGTAAATATCAAACCATTGTGGACCCTATTGTAGCATATTTTATCTGTTACATTTTTTAAAAATGTCCCTATTTTGTATTTTCTAACATCATGATGGAATGAAATTCGCCAAGCTGTGAATCATCAGATGCTGAAGCGGTTTATGATTTAGCTGTTATAAATGAGCTTCCTGTTTCCTCTGAGCTTCGTGTATTAGATTTACTGGTATCGCTCATTCTTTCGTAAAAGTGCTTTGGCGTGCTTGTTTTGGCAGGAATTGACAAGAAGTGTTGTTTGAGTTTGTTAGACTCACTTTAATAAAAACAGTTACACACTTGCTAAATTTAACAAAAAGTTTGATTAGATACAAGTTTGATTAGCTCTCTGTAAGAATGCAAACAAAACTAAACGATGATCATGCATCGCAGTGGCATCGAGGTACTGCAATGTTGGGTAACTGCGTCTTGGAGGATCATTTAGTAGAAGCACATGTTGCATCAGACTGGGATGTGAGCTGAACAGTAACTTCTATGCTGGGGAAGGTCATGGCAACAATTCAGATTGGACTAAATTCATGCATGTAGAATAAAGTATTATTATTTTAGATACTCATTAATACGGGTTGTCATTGACAGGAGTTTAATGAAAGTCTGAGCTCAGAATTTTGTTCACAGAGCATGCTTTTTTTGAGAAGATGATCCATGAAAATAACCATGTTTAAAATATTACTATCTCTTTAGTCAACAAAGAAGAATATGAATGTGATTCAAAGGTTTTTCAACTATAACCACACGCAGTCGACTTCATGTTTCCTCCGGTTCTATTGAACATGTTATTAAATCGTTTAAGCAGACCTCACTCTCCCCTGCAGCAACATACCACAGTCATAAAAATCTGAGTAAATATCCACTGTGGAAAGTGATCACAGATCTTTGATCACTTAGTGGGACGAGCCGCATAGAGGCTCGTCCCACAATAGCTTCTGAGCCTTTACGTCTATTTCCATCTGCCTGCGGTGGTGGTGGTGGGGGGAGGGGGGTAAGGGGGATTTCGCCTCACCACTGCTATTTAAAGGTGCAGAATTGTTCCACCCCTGATCACCCCAACCCCCACAAGTCCCAGAACAAACAGACCGATGGCTCAACTTCCCTAGGCACACACATGCATGTTGGGTGACTCAACTTGACCCCTGGTTGGGGGAACAGAGGGTCACTCTGCATTCTAACCCCCACCTCCCTCACCCACCTGTCCAACTGTCCTGCCAGCCCCTTAGGTCTAGGATCAGAGAGACATTTTGGATTTACATGCAACCCGAAACCCCTAATTTGAGCTCTGATGACACCACAGAGACCCCGGCTGTTAGTCAGATGCTCCTACTAACCCCCTCTGTTGAGGCACAGAAATGGTCTGAGTGTTCTGGAAGTCGGCCTTCACCTCATGTGGTTAGCCGTAGTTTTGAAATGACTTTGTCAGACGGGTTTTTCTATTGATCCAGAATATATCTATGGTCTATGGTCAGAATATGGTCTATTGTGTTTATTTTCTTTAATTTTCGCTCCCATTCAAGTTGTACTTGAGGAAATTTGGTTACTAAAATACTTCCCCTGTCTTTTACTGCTTTGTCCATTCATTTGGTTCTAATACCTGTTAGCAGGCAAAAGCAGGTCATCTAGCAGGTGAAAAATTATTTTCAGACAGATTAGTAAACACGAAAATGAGACTTTTGACTTTGAAACATAGTTTAGTTTTTGTCTTATCTTGTTTATTTAAAACAATAAAACTCCACAGAAAGAACACCTTGTAGAGAAGGGAGCAGAATGTTCAGACTTTACATAAAAGATACCAGTTTCGAGAGACTTCAGATGTTCTTTTGGAAGGAATACATTTTTTTTTTTTTTTTTTAAGAATTGGCCCAAAAATATGAAAAACATGGAAGATTGTCGTCACATGTTTAATGCAGCCAGTACTTGCCAGAAATTCCCACAGCTCCTTTAGTGTTTCTGTACTCCTCTTGGAAGCCTACTTTGTCATTAATCTTCGATGGATGTCTAGTTTTTGGTAATGTTGCTGTTGTGCCATATTTCCTCCATTGTGCTCCTTGGTATGTTTTATGCCTGGGAAATTGTTTGATACTCCTTCTCCTGACTGGTACTTTCTGACACCTTCATAGTCAACAGTTTGTAGCTAAGTATTCTATAGTTTTTCAGCAATATATTTTTTTGTAAACTGGCATCTAATTTTTGTCAGATAATTTGGAGGTTGAAAATGAATCGATGATTTAAAAGAGAGTGACTATGTCAATTTTCTGTGATATATACCTTGATATGCTGCTAAAAAGTGTCCTATAAATAAATACAGATGTAAAACATTGTGAGAGTTTCTAACTCTGAATCTTGAATGTTAAAAGGCATCCAAACTTGGAAATGAAATCATTTAAATATAATATTTGCATATGTTTTCTGTCTCAGTTGTCATAAAAAAAAATAAAAATAATGCTTTTTTTTGTCTTTCAGGATTCCATGAATGCCTTAGCTCATGATCTCAACTACCCCTTCCTGCGAAAGAACAAGAACATTGAGGCATTTCTGAACAGATGTAAGAGCTACTCTTTGTGTTTTTTGTGTTTTGGTGCTTTGTCCTTTTTCTATTTTCTTTCCATGTTTTTTGTCCTCGGTTTATTATTTAATCCCAACAAACATGTTTCAGTACTGCAGTCAAATATGCAAGACTTGTATAATTGAAATAACTGTTTTTTACTTCTTGGCCAGAGCTGTGTGTTTGTTGCTTTTCTCATTTTCAAAAGGGTCAAATGTGGGTTTTTTTTTTAATTTTAGGCAGATACTGACAGGTTGGTGCCTCAGGCAGTCGAGTTTAGTAACGGCATTCTTTTACTATAGAGTCATGTCATGAAAACTCAGCTCATTATTCTTCCCTGAATAATAAAAGGGATTCTATGTGGCAGATATCATCATCATCATCATCATCTGGAGGCATGCATATGTTAATGTTGTCTAAACTTGTAGGTGCAAGCTACCCTGAGGGCTGGGCGCCAGTTGCCAAATATGAATGAATTCTTCTGAAGCTGAAAAATGCCAGTTCCATTTCCTGGAAAATATGTCAAATAAAAGCTTAATCTGTTTGATTTGACTGACCATAGAGCAATTAACCAAATATGTAAACTGAGATAAGTTCCCATGATGAAAGTAAAATTACCATGGTCCCATGGTGTTTACATAAAACAGACATGTGTAACAGAGTCTAACTGCTTTCTAAACACACAAGTATTTCTGCTACTGTTTAAAAAAGTAGCATTTTGTCACCTTTCTAAAATAATGGCCTAAGTAAATTTTGGATTTTTTCCCCCTAAATCTTTTATTATTATTATTATTATTTTTATTATTATTATTATTATTATTATTATTACCAAAATCACATTTTGCAAAAAAATAACGTAAGTCTTCCTAAATTTTAGGAAGCTGCTGATTTTGATTTTTACAGTTATAGTTTCTTAATAAACTGGTTTTGACACATTGAATTAAAACCAAAAAACACAAATAATAATGCTAGGTTTATTATTTGTGAATCTGATTATGAATTGAATTAATCAAAAAAGTATAAAGTTGATTCAGTAAATTTTAAGTACAACACAGGATATTTTATATTAGAGTTGCACAAATTTAACTGATAGTATACACAAACAGCAGGTCTTAACCATTGCGTAATTTACATGTCATTTGTTCCATGTGATTTTTTTTATATAACATTAGCATAACAAGAAGGGTGAGTGGAGCTGCTTAAATTTCCATATAACGACTTTCTGTGCCTTTGGCATTATTTCCAGTCAAATTTGCTTTTCCTGTTAGACAGAGAAAATTCTCAGAGCCTTTTCTGGTCAGTTGTCTGGCAGCGTGTAGCAACAGGCAGGGAGGGGCAGCACTTCACTACACTTTACTATGGTCAATAAATGCATTTCAAACCATAAGAGGGGTATGGCAAAAACCAGTAGCAGCTTTCAAAGAATCCTCAGTAAACCTTGATACCAAGGTCCAAAATGGGTGGGAGTGTTTCTAGCTCTTATCTTTAGACTTCTCTTTTTCAGAGGCTGATCATGTTCATAAACAATCTGCAACATTGCCCACACGATGTGTGGGCAGAGTGGTTTTATTTGAAAACACTTTTGAAACTTGTTGCCAGGATCAAATTCCCCTCCTGAGTTTCGGCTCACATAGATTTGTTGCCTACGAAGTGTTTTAGTTAAATGTATGTTTAACTAAATTAACTTTAATGCACGTATGTGTAACTATTGCAGATGTATTTTAAGATGTGGTGTTCGTTTTTGTTTAAAATGATCCATTCAAGCATCTTTATTACTTGTGCCATTTATTTTGTTTATGTTTTAGTAACGTGTCCCCTAAATACGTTTTCTAATTAAATAAGCCTTCTTTTTGTTGATATTATTTATTTCATAATGTATCTACAAAGATTCCAGTTCTTGTCCTAATAGCGTTTGATATGTTCAAATTCTTGTTCGAAAAGACTCCCAAAAGGCAAATATAAAGTGGACCGCAAGGCTAACCCAAGTAAATCGATGGTATTGTCCACGTTTTCTCTGCAGTTTCATTTGAAATTGAGATGATAATCTATGCAGATCACAAAAAGTACATTTTTCTTGACCTTTGAATAAAAATTTCCAAAAGGTATTTTGAATAGAAGTGGCAGCAGATTGAGCTTTTGTGATGCTGAAGTATTTTACTCCTATCTCTTATCTGCAGATGAGAAGCTGGTGAATGAACTGCGAGAGCTGCAGGTGAAGGTTGACGACTTTGAAAAAGTGAAGTTGATCGGGAGAGGAGCCTACGGTGAAGTGCAGCTGGTGAGGCGTTTCTCTCTTACTGCCCTGTAAAAGAAGAAAATATTTATTTTAACCTTTATATTTCATTGTTAAGCTCCGCGTTTGAAGTAGAGAATTTTTCCTGCTTTTCCTGAATTTAACAGTTTGCTTCTGGGCCACTAGAGGGAGCAACCATCAAGACAAATAAAAAAAAAACACCCTGTTTTAAACACAGAACTCTAAAATATTTTTCACATCATTTCCTACCTAATGAATCATACATTTTGAAACTGGCTGTAATTCCTTGCTCTCATCTTGGCCTCGTTTTTTAACTACCTTCCTTCTGCTGGAAGGCAGTTAAAATCAGGTATCTGATAAGATGTTTGTCTGTTGGAACGAGTCCGGACAGGCTTTGTGTGGGGTATGAATATGAAGTCTGGTGAGGGGGTGTGAAGGGGTACTCGTCTGTGTTTGTGCTTAGCGCTTGTGTAAGCATGTCTTCTTATGGGTGTGTACAACACTCGCTGCTTCCCGTTTCATGTCTGGATCTCTGCTGTTATCTCAGTCATTGTGACATTCCAACAGTTCTCTCCTTATTGTCCTTGTGGAGTTGTTACTGTTTACATTCCAGCATCGTCTCCTCTCTCTTATCTGCCTGGCCTTATTTACAGGTCCGTCACAAGGCCTCGAAGAAGGTTTACGCCATGAAGCAGCTCAGCAAGTTCGAGATGATCAAAAGGTCAGACTCGGCCTTCTTCTGGGAGGAGAGGCACATCATGGCGTTTTCCAACAGTCCCTGGATTGTTCAGGTGTGGATGTGTATTTCTTTCCGCAACACGCAGAAAATTATGTGATAGACCAATAAAAAGTGGTACATTATTGAAGGAAAATGCATTATGCTTTTACTTTGGTACCTCTGAATAAAAGACACTCATATGCCTTTAGAAGTCACCTTAATGGTAAATTCAGTGCAACAAGAGTGTAATTTAATCTCACTACAGATCTAAGGGGTTTCTTAGAGAACATCAGTGAACAAACGGCGTCCTGTTAGCAAAGAAACACAGAAGTTTAAGAGAAGTTTAAAACAAGTTTAGGTTATAACACTGTATCCTAAGCATTCAATGTCTTATACAACACTCCTGAAAAGTGAACATTGCAACTCTATCGAGGCGTACATGTCCACATAAATTAGGAGGCCTGACAAGGAGAGGCTAAAACGGCAAAGCAGTGAAGAGATGAGAGAATCTGTTGACAGTTCAGCTATTACTTGCACATTTAACAGGCTTTTACTTTTTGAATTCCTGACTGCTGAGCTACTGATGCATTCAGACTACAATTGTGAAGTGACTAAAAACAATACATCAGTGTTTTCCTCAGCATTCTGCAGCTTTAGCTGTGTAATGTTGCTGCGTCCTTTTGCAAGTGGCTCACTCTAGCCTTACTCGTGTTTTCACCATTTGTCTCCTTGCAGCAACAGAACCACCCACAAGGTTTCTCTTTGAGATTTCAGCTATTTGTCAGGCACACCTTTAACACGGCAGGAATCCCATCCATAATAGGATCCCACACAGGGAAAAAAAACAAAAACAAAAAAAAAACAAGAAACAAAAAGCAGTTTCACTTCTGTCCAGGCAACGCCTCTTTAGATCATCTTGCAGATATGTTTCATGGTGTTAATCCGGATGTTCCAATCAAATCCTACAAACGTAATGGTTTTATTAACTGCTAAGGCAATTAAAAGATGTGGAACAAGAATCCAGTTTGAAATAATAAGTTTCTTTTGTGCTATCTTGCAACCAATCTTATTTTATTTGCAACTTTATTTGCTATAAAGTTGCAACAAGGAACTTGTGTGTTATGTTGGTTATTTTGAATGAAGTTTAAATAGAACATATGTTTAAATTAAAAATTTGAAAACTAAACTAATTAAGCTACAATAACTTAATATTTTAGATAAATCAGTTGAACCTGGTTGTTGTTTTTTTTTTTTTTTTTTAGCTAGAGTTGACATAATCCTGGCATCAGGTTTGCAGTAATGATTTTTGACTTTCACTATTGGCTGTGAAACAATGAACAGCAATTGTGAAATCTGTATCAGTGCAAAATCTTTAAGCACTTAGACATGACATTTATGTGTGGAATGGACATCATTCCAGCTTTGCTGCGCTTTCCAAGATGATCGGAACCTCTACATGGTGATGGAGTTCATGCCGGGCGGAGATGTGGTCACACTCACCATAAACTACGACATCCCCGAGAAGTGGGCTCGCTTCTACACGGCCGAGTTGGTGCTGGCGCTGGATGCCATCCACTCTATGGGTTTCATCCACCGCGACATTAAACCGGACAACATGCTGCTGGACCAGCACGGACACCTCAAACTAGCCGACTTTGGCACCTGCATGAGGATGAACTCGGTAGGTTGATTGTTGTGAATTGGAGTGAATGAGATGTTTCACTATTTCTGAAACTTTAGAAGTGAAAATGCATTTAGTTATTCTTTGTCAGGGAAATACATTTGTTGTATTGTCACTTGGAGCTCTAGTGCACCATCAGGTGTTCAAATAGTGGAAGTGCCACTCAAAATTGCACTTGAACTGTTTTGAAAAGCTTCAGGATTTACTTTGCTAAGCACCCAAATCAAAATGCCTCTGTGGTTCTGCCTCTGGTGTGGAGCAGGAAGTGTTTCTCAGCTTTTCACCACAGCTTTTTAAAATAGCCGCTCCTACATATTTGTGCCTTTGGGGAAATCGTCTGAAGTCATTACAAACACCTCGACATGCATTATGGTTTCTTGCAATTAAATTTTTTGTGCAAGTATATATAAAGACTTGTATTGCTGGTAAGTAACTAAATAAATTATAACGATATGCTTCATTTATATAGCATCTTTCAAGACAGAAAATACAAAGTGCATCAATAACATTTTAAAAATTATAGAACTAAAAAGGAAAAACTGTATAAGCAAAAATAAAAAAATAAATAAATACAAAATAAATAAATAAGTACCAGAAGCAAAATATATAAAACCAAAACAGGAAAGTAAAAATAAAATGTAAGACTAAATTCAATAATATTTGTAAAAAAAAAAAAATAGGTATAACACACAGAAAAACTTTGTTGAGAAAAAATATGGGTCCCCTAAAAAACGTTAAAAAAAACTAAAAAAAAACTTAATCATTCTAGGCAAAAGTTTTTCTTTCTAGACACTAATTTGATTAAATTGAGAATAAGCAGTGCACTGTCTCTTACTTTGTGATTACCATTGTAAAAAGTAAAAGGTTGACTTTTTTGGATCAGCAAACTAACACAGCTCACAAAAGAGTTTTTCAAGTCATGAAAATATGTCTTGATGTGTTCTGTAAGATCAACAATAGTTATTGGAAGACAGATTTAGTTGGGGACTTTGACACAGATCATCTCTGTATATATTAAATAGTGTGTCCCCAGACCTGATACTTTGAATCTTATACTTATGGTTGTGTGTTTGCTTGTCTACAGTCTGGTATGGTGCACTGTGTGACAGCTGTAGGCACACCAGACTACATCTCCCCGGAGGTGCTTCAGTCTCAAGGCGGTGATGGTACCTACGGTCAGGAATGTGACTGGTGGTCTGTTGGAGTTTCCCTGTACGAATTGCTTGTTGGTGAGTTTCAGTTTAAATTCACAAGTATGAACTTCTTTCTGTGGGTTTATTGGTAAAAATCTAGGAAGCTTTAATCTCTAATATTCATCACAGGCGAAACTCCGTTCTATGCCGAGTCTCTCATCGGAACATATGGGAAGATCATGAACCACCATAACGCTCTGGTCTTTCCGGACGATGTGGAGATGTCTCAGAATGCCAAAGATCTCATAAGTGCTTTTCTCACTGACAGGTTTGATCATCAAACGTTGTCAAATGTTCTTAGACCATTAGACCATTTTTTTAAATATAAATCATAATCCACTTCATGTGTATGAACATGCTGATTAGCTGGAGCCATTTTGGGTTTCTCGCTGTTTGGCTGCATTACCCAATCACAGACCTACGAACAGTTTAGTTGTCTGGGCCTTGATATAAGACAGCATCACTCAAAAAGGTAAAAAAAAAAAAAAGAGTGCCTAGATTTGCTTGAATTAGATTGAACTTTACTGGTTCCTCTGGGAAATTACCAGCAGCAGTCCACTGACAGAAAAAAAAAAAAAAACAAAAAAAACTAAACAATCAAACTTAAAAAATGAGAAATCCAAACAAAACTGTCATAATTTTATTTATTGTTGATCTTTGATGTAAAGTTATATTGTTTTGTTGAAAAATGGAAACCAATTTGTGAACAAAACCAAAATTCCTCTCTGTGTCCCGTCATCCCACTACCTCTGGGTGCTTGGCGGCGGAGCGGTGTGGCAGCTTGAGTTGGTCGTAATGGAATGACTAGCTCAACTTCAGGCATATGCTGAAGAAAAGACGCAGATTTGAAGATGATTGTGATGTTGATGATTATTATTTATGACCATTTAAAAATATTATAACCCATATCATAATAAAAATCTCCTTCGGCTGCTGACAGATTTGTTTTTCGACTGATTTTGGTGTTATCTAGGCCATTCCACCCCAATCAGTGAGTCATTTAGCACATATAAAAATAAAAAAAAACATTCAATTTGATGCACTGCAGGCAATAGTGAAATTAGGAATTATTCATTGTTGAAGTATTTTCAAATTAGACAATGTTTTTTGTTGTTTTTTTGAGTCTGTCTGCCTAAAATAGCTGAATGAATCCAAAGGTTTCTTAATGACATCAGAATTTAAGCTTAAATTCTGATTTATTCATTCACTGAATGAATAAATGGCTAGTGGTCCTGCTTTGTGGCCGTTTCCAGTGGAAGAGACCACTTCCTGTTTACATTACTGACCCCTCCCCAGAAAAGGCTTTAAACACAGGCCCTTTCTGCTTCTCTACAGAGCAGCCTTTCATTTTTTCCTTCTCACTGAGTTTATTTGCTTTCTCACTCACTATTCTCTCACCACGCACAGAATCCGATGTGTGTATGTGAGGCAGTCTCACACACACATTCGCTAATCACTGCATGCACTTAACCCACATACTCTGTCATTGTCTTCCCATTTTGCTGGATCACTCATTCGGTCTTGTTACCCCCCCCCTCCCCACCCTGTCTCTCTTTGAGTTATCTAATTTTTCCTTTATGTGCAACATTTTATACCTGACTGCTGCCAGTTTCCATTTCTCTTGCCCCTATTTACTCCTTTAGTGTTCTGGGCACAAAGACATAGCTTTTAAACTTTCCTCGGGTTTCCGTTTTTTTTTTTTTTTTTTTTTTTTAATGCACCCATCAGAAAACTCCGCTCTCTCCCCTTCTTGCTTGATCTGGAATGTCCCACACGTGGCAAGCCCAAACTGCCACACCCCTCTGCCGCCATGCACCCAGAGGTATTGGGGTGGGGGGATGCAGAGAGGCATTGAAGGAGAGAAAGTTCTGTGTTGCCGACGGTTCCTCACGCTAACTTTCTGCCATTCTGAAACTATATTATCTTGGCTCTGGCTGAACACAGGAGGTTCTCTGCAGCAGCGGTCATGCGGCTCTCCATTCTGGCCAGTTTGGTCAGTGCAGTCATTCCACTGGGCTCTGTGTTTTTGGGATGACATGTTAGTGATGGTGGGTGGAGGGGCGGGGTGAGGTGGGGAGTGTTTTGCATTCTCACTAAGGCAACTCGCCTCTCAACGCGCCTCTGCCTCCTCCTTGTTGCTGTGTGCAGGAAGGTTCGACTGGGCCGCACCGGAGTGGATGAGATCAAACGTCACCCCTTCTTCAAGGACGACCAGTGGACCTTTGACAACATCCGTGACAGTAAGTGGGCACGTGGTGCATGTCTCTGAGCCTGTGCAGGTGTAGGTTCCCTCTGTTATTCCCATGTCTGGTAATGTGCGCCTTAGTCTTGTTGCCATTTCTGTCTTATCACCTCCAGCTCATTCCATTCCCTTTCCAGATTTGCTTCGCTTTAGCCTGTGATTTCAGTTTATTTCCAGCTCCTGCACCAGTAAGCCTTCACTTATGCTACACATGCTCTCCATATGGTGTCATATCTGGCATCAAATGATGGGACGCTTTGTGGAGCAGGACATCATGTTATTGCGCAAATCCTTCTGGAAATCAGCTCATATGGAGTATATCTTTAAAAAAAATGCATTAAAGATGAGAGCAGCAGATTTCAAATAATACTGGTTTGCTGTCGTGTATTTAAAGACTTAATGTATTTAAAATTTATAAGACAACATGCTGGAAAGAGAGCAATTACAGCCACTGTTGGTGAAATTAAATAGCTTGATTATGGCAGGTTTACTAACATTGCCCACTATTTTAATTGTTGTTTTTAAGTCTAAAATTATACACACTTGCAGTTTAGTTGACGATTAAATGACTAATTAACCGTTTATTAGCTGGTTAATTAGTCTTCGTTCTTCTGAGGTTGGCATCCTGCAGCCAGCTGCTTAACAGACATTCCCAGGCCTCCTTAATGGCAGTTGTAAAGCAGCGTCACCCTAATAAGGCGGAGCTGATCAGCAGTGTGCAGCAAAAATTGGAGTGAGGGAAACTTTGTTTCCTTTCTCCCTCTCTTCTGGAACGTCACTCGAAGTATTATTTTTCTCTCGAACTATGATTTTCATCGTTTGTTTTGCTTTTATGATTTATAAAATATTTGTCGTGGAAAGCAATGTAATATTGTTTTGATGTTTAGTTAATTATTAAATTTGTTTTCCATATAATTTAGCCTCACTTTTTTTGTTCTTTTTTCCCCCATAGAGTTTTATGTAGTTGCTACATTCGAAACATTTAATTTCAAGTCAGATTATTTAACGTGGATATCCTTAATTTTTTAACTCATAAAATGTTTTAATATTACTTGAGTCTGATCAGATTCTTGTCTCTGGATGGTTTTGTGTACATATGACGGATAAAAATCTTGTCATACAGGTCAGTGAGATCAAGTGTGGGATTTGGATAACATTACTCTACAGTGTGCACTTCTCTTTGTAACTTAAAACAAAAAAAAAATAGTCTTTACAAGAAGCTCTTTGTGCATTGCTGAAATTATAGGATATGGGGTGGAAAAAAGAGGAAGAAAATTAGAATTTCTACATTAGGATTATGAAGAGCACCTTTGTGTCTGTGAGTGATTACATTCAGAGCCTTTTCCTTTCGCCTCCCCATTTCTCCGCTGCACCTGGCTCTGATTATAAGGGCAGACTAAAGTTCTGATCAGAGCCTTGCAGTCTGGAACATAAAACCACCGCTGTGCCACTGCTGCGCTGCACATGCATGTCCTCTTTCTCTCTCTCTCCCTCTCAAACACACACACGCACGCAGGCAGACGCGCACACACAGGCTCAACACGCACTGGAAACGTGAGCCAGATCTATTTCTTGTTTCCTGCAGAGCCCTATCTGTGCACTCTTTAGATCTTTAAGAACGAAACGACTCCCTGCTACGTAAGGCCTTCGCTCTGTGCTGCGACTCTTATCTCCTTCCGTTTTCTTGCTTACGGCGGTGATTGCAGCGAAATGACGGGCGAGTGGATGCAGGGGCTGAGAAAGGCGCATCCTCCGTAGCAGCGGGCGGGACGATCGTGTGGCCTCGTCTAATGAGAGGGGCGCCCCGTTTCGAAGGGTTCCGACTCTCTTTTTCACTCTCACTGTGGCCGCGGCTGCCTGTCATTAGACTCTCCCTATCAGAGAGCATTCTGGGAAGTCTTGCCACAAGGCCATCCATGTCTCTTTCTGTCTCACCACACGTTTGACTTCTATTTTTTTTTTTTTTTTCCAAGCTTCTAGTTTTACATCACCCCCTACGTTGATATCATTCGTGCGTATTCATCAAGCTGACGGTCAAGTCTCGACCTAACAGTAAAGAGCTGTTTGCACAGAGCCAGAATTACACCCGTCTGAGGCCGCTTGTCTTTTATTTAATTGGAATCTTTTTATAGACTAAAGGACCATTTTTATCTGATTGGCCCCTGCACGGATTTGTGTCTGCACGCTGTGTCGTGTTCAAAAGTGTGCTTGCTCTTGTGAAAGGAGAGCAGAGGGTGCTGTATTTTTTTTTTTTTTTTTTTTTTTGCTGCTGTGGTCAGGATTCATTTGTGAAAGGTAGCTGTGTGTGTGGGGCACAAAGCAAGCACTGTGTGGGGAAAAGGAGTGGTGTCAAGCTCACGCCAACCTGTAGGAAACGTACTCCTACTGCAGGCCGTGCCAAAGTTGGCACAGGGTTGGCTGAACGGGGTGAAAAAAAATAAAATATTCAGTGCTAAAATGTTTTCAAGGAAGGGTTTTTAAATGCTCTTCGCCTGCTGGATCTTCTTCACGTTTTGTCACATTGCAATCCTCTACATTCACTGCACGGACCAAATGTTAAAGTGGAAGGAGGATGATTTTTTTTTTTTTTTTCACAGTTTTCTTCCAAGTAAAAATTTGGAAACAAGGCTTTTTTTTTTTTTTAATCTTGATGCACTTAGCTAAAACCTAATGCATCCAATGGCCTTTAAAATTCCCCTTATTCGTTTTAATTTAATCTTAGGATGAGTGCAGCACAGCTGTTTTGTGTAGACCTCAGAGAAACGGCATCATGAAGTTATTTTAACATTTATAAGGAACACATCAGACACGTGAAATGAGATAATCAGGTCAAGATGCAGAACACTTTTATAGCGGAACGCTAACATCATCAGCCTCAGCAGACCGTGCCCTCTGTCAAAGAGTTCAGAGTTGACAAGAAGGTGAGCGAGGCGAAAGAAACTAGGCAGTGGAGGAAATGTGTTATAGCAGAATAAGGTGGATCCACAGAACACTGCCACCGGAAATACAAATGGACTCCACACTTTTTAGACCTCTGTTCGGAAAGAATATTAAAAACCTTTTGTTGCCTCCCAGTTATACACTGTAATACAATATTATAATAATTTGCTGTTAATTCTTGTAACACGATAAAATGCGAAATGGTTCAGAGGGGCAGTAAATAACTCTGAGGCAATCCACCATCTTTATACTCAACTGAATCTTTATTTCTACTCTAACCCTCCTGGTTCGCACTGCCTCCTCCTCCTTGACCCGTTTGACTCAACGATTCGCCCTCTGCTCCTGTGTTCCAGCTGTGGCTCCAGTGGTTCCAGAGCTGAACAGCGACATAGACACCAGTAACTTTGATGACATAGAGGTGGAAAAGGGAACTGCCGAGACTTTTCCTCCTCCCAGAGCGTTTACGGGCAACCAGCTACCATTTATCGGCTTCACTTATTTCAAGGAGGATCAGTGAGTCTTTTAATCTTGTGTTCTTTTTGTTTGACTGGTGTTTTATCTAGATATGTCATTGAAAAATTTTTATTTTTGATTTATTTGTATTGCTGTAATGGGTTTATATGAGGAAAAACCAGTTCCTTGCACTGACAAAGGACTGTTTACAGGAATGCTTAAAGGGAAACAACAGCTTCACACTGAAGCCAGACACTGTATCCCTGTTTTAGACCCATACTGCCGCCTTGTTCTGACAGTCTCTTTAAACGCCCTCTCTGCGTCTGATTTATCGTAGATTCCTGCCTCACTTTAGCCTAGCACAAATATTGAGGAATAAAACATTTATTTCTTAAAGTTATGTTGCTGAACTGCCTTAATCCACAGTAACTGTTGGCATGTAGCCAAATTTTATTGGACATATTTGTCAAAAAGGTAAAGAGTACTGAAAATAACCAAGTGCAGCAACTCTGCATCTAAACTCCAAAATTAATGGTTTTACAAACTGAAACTGTTATGGCTGATCTTTGAACCTCACATGCTGCCTGAAGTTTGGTCTTGTGTGTTGCTACCAGTTAAAGCTGTTGCAAACATTCGTTGGTTTCCTCTCTCCGTTTGTAGGCTCCTGAGCAGAACAGGCAGCAGCTCTGAGGAGGATTCAGACGACTGTAAGGAAAACTGTAAGGATACAGAAAATTCTGCAGATAGCAAGAAAGACGTGAGTGACTTTGTGTGCAAAGTTTTTTTTTTTTGTTTGTTTTTTTTTTTATCCCGTCAGAGAGTATAGACGGAAGACATTTTTTCTTTGTTTTCCCTCTGAGCAGCTGCAGAAAAAGGTGAAGCAGCTGGAGGAGCAGCTTGATCATGAGATGCAGGCCAAAGATGAACTGGAGCAGAAGTGCAAGTATGACTGGGACACACACACACACACACACACACACACACACACACACACACACACACACACTTGAACATCATTATGATGGATTATACCACTTTTTGTACAATCTGAAACTATAAATCAACTTTTTGATACACTGTTATCTATAGATTGTGATTTTAAGAATAAAAAAGAATTCATTTCAGATCACTGTTTTGTTTATATATTAGCAGAATCACTTAGGAAAGAAGTAGTAATTAACATCCTAATATTGCAGTATAGGCTAAATGAAACGAGAAGAAGAGTGGTAAAGTCAAATGCAGCTTCATTTTTGTTCTTCTATTTATTTATTCATTGCATTTCACCAGTTTGCTCATTTTGAGAAGAAAATGTTTAAAAGAACAGATCAAATGTGTTTTTAACAAGTGGTTATATGTCAAGGAAATTGTTTTTAAATCTCTATCTTATATTTTAATGGAAAATCTGTAATCATTTTTTATTTTTTTTTTTATCTTCAGAAATGCCACCAATCGTTTAGACAAGCTGGTCAATGAACTGGATAAGGAGGTAAAAAATGGACTCAGAAGTGGCTGCAGGCGCTCTAACCCAGTCTCATATAACACAGTAGGTCTAAGTTTGCCTTCCTGTTTTATCAGATGAACAGTCGGCAGAAAGTGGAAGCCTCCATGAGGCAGCTGGAGCGAGAGCGAGCCCTGCTGCAGCACCAGAGTGCGGAGAACATCCGCAAGGTGGAGATGGAGGCAGACAGGAAGCGCATCCTGGAAAACGAGTGTGAGCGCCCAGCGACCTTTATCTGACACTGGGTTTGTCTTTTTCAAAGTCTGAATAACGTCCTTCTCGACTGTTTTTGCAGTGAACAACTTGAGGGACCAATTGGAGGACATGAAGAAGAGGAACCAACACTCACAAATATCCAATGAGAAGAACATCCAGCTGCAAAAGCAGGTGAGGAGGGAAACTCTGTATCGTTACTCGCCACAGCATGGTTCGCTTTTCTCGCAGAAAACTGAGAACTTGCCATCAAAGTTTTTTTTATGCGTTTGTATCATGTGTAATTAACCAAATATTCCCCATGCATATGATTGAATGCAAGTTGATATTTAACCTTACTAAATACGTCTAGCATTGTCTCTGACCTTCATTGTTGCCGGTTGTATTTATATGTATATGCTTTTTGTGTGACTTAGCTGCTTAGGGTTGTAAGTTGGACATGACAGAGTTTTCTTAGTCGCTCTTTAAAATGTGGAATACAGGAGAACATTCCATTTTAGTGATAAAAATGACCATTATATCTGCATGACAGGTGGCACAGGAGGATAAAGCTAATGTTTAGCTTAACTGAAGATCTGTGATGCTGTGGGCCTGTTTCCCTTCTAGAAGTCGTAGGAGTGCATGACATCACTGACTTAATTAAAATATAATGGCCTATTCCTACTTGTGATAATCAAGATTTCCACCTCTAACAATAATTTAGATTTCATACTGATTCAAAAGACAACAAGACTGCACAAACAAAAAAAAAAATACCTTTATTTTTTGTTTTATATTTTTACCTGTGATTTTGCCGCCTTCTGTTTTTCCTGTCACTTTGCTGCTGCTTCACATTCATTTCATCACAGATGGAAGGGTATTTGTGTTCTATCCTGTTCTGAAATATGTTACTAAATCTGCTGCTATAATGAAAACATTTTGCCTCTTAGGCTAAATGAGAATTAACTTAATCTATTCCTCACCTGTAGCTCGACGAGGCTAACGATGCCCTGCAGGCTGAGCAGGAGGCGGTGGCTCGGCTGAAGAAGGGCCAGGCGGAGGCACAGAAACAAGCCCAGAGCCTCGAAGTCAGCCTCAGGGAGATGGAGAAAAAGTGCAGCGGACTGGAAGCGAGCAAGGCGGAGCAGGAGAAGCAGATGAGGGGGCTGCAAGACGAGCTGGAGGAGGAGAGGAGAGAACACAACCTCAAGACGGAGACCCTCGCTGACCTGCAGGGTGAGACACAGAAGCAGCTGAACAGACGGTTTAACTCATCGTTCGATCAAGACCAGGGGTGGGCAATCCTGGTCCATCGAGGGCCGGTGTCCTGCAACTCTTAGATGTCTCCCTGGTCCAACACACTTGAATCCAACAGCTGAATCACCTCCTAAGTGCAGTCAGGTTCTCCAGAGTCCCGCTAACGACCTCATTATTTGGCTCAGGTGTGTTGAAGTTGAGACACATCTAAAAGTTGCAGGAGTCCAGCGTTGCCCACCCCCTGATCTAGATTTTTAAAAGTAATCAGATTTTTGTGTGCCCCTGAAGTAAACATCTCTTCAAGTTTTGGAAAAAGAAAGACATTACATAACTTGGAGTGTGCAGTTGAACTGAGAATTAGATGTGAATTGTTTTTTGGAATCAGCCCTGGGAAATATTGGATCATAGGTGGAAACATCTGCTGAAGGAGGTGGAGAGTGAAGCAAGATGCCAGAACATTGCAGGTTTTTTTTTTTTTTTTTCCTTGAGAGGTGGCTTTAAATTTCATGGTCTCTGTAACACAGAGACACCGCCCTCTGAGGTCAGAGGGGAATTTGTTAGGATAAAGTGTTACCTGTTTGGCGTTTTTTTTCTTCCGTTGGTCAAAGTCTCCTTTAGGGTCGATTCATGGAAAAGAAAAGGAAAACAAACATAAAGTGCCGTATTTTGGGTGTTTTAGGTCAAACATGAGCTGTCACACAGGGAATGTCCAAAAATAGGCGGACCAGGTGTTAAATTATTGCATGTTTGTGTCAAAATAGTTGCTTCACTTCTAGACAAATATTAACCACCTCTCTGCTAATTTTATTGCTGTTTTTACATTATTCCTTTTCAGGAACAATTTCACTCCTAGAAGACGAAGTGAAGGAGGTGAAATCTTCTCTTTCCAAGGTCAACAGTGAAAAAAAGGAACTACAGACGAAGCTAAATAATCTCGAAAAGGTATTTCCTTCTCTCCCAATCACTTTCACTGTATTTAAGTGTAAAATATTCCTCGATTAAAGACTTTACGGTGTAAAAGTCATTATTCTAAAAAAAAACTTAACATATACGCTTTGATTGCAGGAAAAGAACAACCAGGAGATTGACCTGATGTTCCAGCTCAAGTCGCTCCAGCAGAATCTGGAGCAGGAGGAGGCAGAGCATAAGGCTACCAAAGCTAAACTCGCAGATAAAAGCGAAGTCAACAAATCTATCGAGGAGCCCAAATCTGAGGCCTTAAAAGGTGAGCAGAAAGATCAATAGACGTACAGATGCTGATAAATGTGCTGGCAGCCATGGTAAGAATTTGTAAATGCCTTAAGATTAATGGATATTTTATTGTAGGAGCAAAATGTCACCCTATGAAAATTTGAATACAAAAAACTCAATGTAAACATTTTTATTGAAGTGGGGAAGAAAAAGCACATTATTGATTATTATTGTTTTTCTTTTTTCCTGTCACTATTTCTACTGATCAGTTTTCCCAGTAAGGCCTAGATTTTTTTATTTATTTATTTATTCATATTTAAATTTTTAATCTCTAGCCACCTGGTTTCTATCCTGCCATTTCCAAAAGCTACTTCAAAAATCTTTCAAAAAGCAAAAAAGGGGTTTAATTAGAAATTGTGATTTTTTTTTTT